TCAAACAGAATGTTTAAAACTAACTTTGCTAGAATAGAACTAGAAGCTAAGTTTGAAAAAGAAGATCGGTATAGTCAGGAACTAGCAGATCATTCGTCCACTACAACAAGTCTGAGTTTCTGGACTTGAAGAAGTTAGGTAAGGCTTCTCAGGAAACAGGACAAATGTTTCCCAACGTGGGTCTTAGTCATGTGATGACCCATAGCTGGGGCTTATGGTCATCTGACTGATGCCTTCCACTGGTTTACTGGTTCACCCCTTAAAAAATTATGGTTATAATTATAACCGGTATACTGCCTGGTTCCTTGCATACATGTACATATTTCCACATATGTTTATATGTAAAAATATGTGGAAATTTGAGCTATGTTTATATTTACAGCTGGGAATTTTATACTACAGTTATGAGAAGTCATGACGTAGCATTCTTTCCATAAAAATCTTCAAACGACATCAACAACTTCACTGATACTAGATGACTCCTAGTTCCTTACCTAGACCCCAGGTAGCAGCAAAGGGACCTATAGTTCTTCGTTTGGACACCAGATGGCAGCATATATAACCTCTAGTATAACTACCAGTGCAATATTGAATGAAATAAACATTACTTTTTCACTTTTTTGTAATCATTATTACTTACTAAAATTTTATTAAACACCATATTTACTACCAGTCAATTTTACTTTTGTGTGTACGCAAATGGGGCAAGCTCTTCCGCACAACCAATTACAGTCGGTGTCCCACAGGGAAGTGTCCTTGGCCCTCTTCTCTTTCTCCTATACATAAATGACCTACCAAATGCTTCGCAATTACTCAAACCCACACTTTTTGCAGATGACACTACATACGTCTTCTCTCACCCGAGCCCAGTCACGCTAGCCAATACTGTAAACACCGAATTACAGAAAATATCTACCTGGATGAGGACTAACAAACTTACACTAAACATTGACAAAACCTACTTCATTCAGTTTGGTAACAGAGCTACAGATGTCCCTCTTAACATAATGATAAACGGATCACCTATCACAAAGCTAACAGAGGGAAAATTCCTAGGAATCCACCTCGATAATAGACTCAAATTTCATACACATATACAACAAATTTCTAAGAAAATTTCCAAGACTGTAGGCATACTATCGAAGATACGGTACTATGTTCCACAGTCAGCCCTCCTGGCCCTTTATCACTCTCTTATTTACCCCTATCTCACCTATGGAATTTGTGCATGGGGCTCAACAACAATTAACCATCTCAGACCACTAATTACCCAACAAAAGGCTGCAGTTAGAATGATAACAAATTCTCACTACAGGCAACACACTCCACCAATATTCAAAACACTCAACCTACTCACCATACAAAACATCCTTACTTATTATTGCACCTATTACATACATAGAACACTTAACTCTGATATTAACCCTCCCCTCAAACATCTCCTTGCCAACCTCAACAGAACACATGATCATAACACAAGGCACAGATCACTCTTTGATGTTCCTCGTGTCCATCTCATGCTATGCAAAAACTCAAGGCACATAAAAGGCCCTAAAATCTGTAATTCATTACCTGTAAATATAAAAGAAACACTACCTGTTTATAAATTCAAGTCTCTTCTCAAAGATCACTTACTCACTCAAAACCAAATAAATACTGAATAACTGAACCTTATAAATTGTATATCCTATATGTTACTCACAATTATATCACACAAATGTTAAACCTAGGACCCAATCTAACTTTATTATTTTTTTAAATACACTACCTAACAGAATACTCCATTCGACTGAATGTACAGCAATGCAAGCAACCATATGACCTGTCGTTGTAATACTCATTTGTGCTTTATAGTTATCTGTTTACAATAATGATTTATCACTGATTTCATCATTGCTTAGTTAATCTTAAGTTAATTTTAAGCCAGCCCGTAATGCTATGCATATAAGTGGCTTTGGCATGCTGCTCTTACCTGTATTTTTTGTACCTCTGTAAGTATGCTTAAATTACTAAATAAATAAATAAATAAATAAATAAATAAAAGGTACCTGTAGTTCCTCATATGGACACTAGATGGCAGCAAATGTACCTGTAGTTCCCCATCTGGACACTAGATGGCAGCAAAGGTACCTGTAGTTCCACATCTGGACACTAGATGGGAGCAAATGTACTTGTATTTCATCTGGACACTAGATGGCAGCAAAGGTACCTGTAGTTCCACATCTGGACACTAGATGGCAGTAAATGTAAGCCACAGCACCGTGTCTTCCTTTGCAGATGACACCCGAATCTGCACGACAGTGTCTTCCATTGCAGACACTGCAAGGCTCCAGGCGGACATCAACCAAATCTTTCAGTGGGCTGCAGAAAACAATATGAAGTTTAATGATGAGAAATTTCAATTACTCTGATATGGTAAACATGAGGAAATTAAAACCTCATCAGAGTATAAAACAAATTCCAGCCACACAATAGAAAGAAAAACTAACGTCAAAGACCTGGGAGTGATCATGTCGGAGGATCTCACCTTCAAGGACCATAATATTGTATCAATCGCATCTGTTTGAAAAATGACAGGATGGATAATGAGAACCTTCAAAACTAGGGATGCCAAGCCCATGATGGCACTCTTCAGGTCACTTGTTTTATCTAGGCTGGAATATTACTGCACACTAACAGCATCTTTTAAGGCAGGTGAAATTGCTGACCTAGAAAATGTACAGAGAACCTTCACGGCATGCATAACGGAAATAAAACACCTCAATTACTGGGAGCGCTTAAAGTTCCTGAACCTGTACTCCCTGGAATGCAGGCGGGAGAGATACATGATTATATACACCTGGAAAATCCTAGAGGGACTAGTACCAAACTAGACTCGGCAGACGATGCAACGTCCCCCCAGTGAAAAGCAGGGGTGTCACTAGCATGCTAAGAGACAACAAAATAAATGTCAGGGGTCCAAGACTGTTCAACTGCCTCCCAGCATACATAAGGGAGATTACCAGTAGCCCCTGGCTGTCTTCAAGCAGGCACTGGACAGGCACCTAAAGTTGGTACCTGACCAGCTGGGCTGTGGCTTGTACATTGGATTGCATGCAACCAGCAGTAACAGCCTGGTTGATCAGGCCCTGTTCCACCATGAGCCCTGGTCACAGACCGGGCCGCAGGGGCGCTGACCCCCGGAACTCTCCCCAGGTAAACTCCAGGTATATGTACCTGTAGTTCATCTGGACACTAGATGGCAGCAAAGGTACCTGTAGTTCCACATCTGGACACTAGATGGCAGCAAAGGTACCTGTAGTTCCTCATCTGGACACTAGATGGCAGCAAAGGTACCTGTAGTTCATCTGGACACTGGCAGCAAAGGTACCTGTAGTTCCTTATCTGGACACTAAATGGCAGCAAAGGTACCTGTAGTTCCACATCTGGACACTAGATGGCAGCAAAGGTACCTGTAGTTCCTCATCTGGACACTAGATGGCAGCAAAGGTACCTGTAGTTCATCTGGACACTGGCAGCAAAGGTACCTGTAGTTCCTTATCTGGACACTAAATGGCAGCAAAGATACCTGAAGTTCCTGATCTGGACACTAGATGGCAGCAAAGGTACCTGTAATTCCTCATCTGGACACTAGATGGCAGCAGGGGTACCTATAGTTCCTCGTCTAAATACTAGATGGCAGCATGACGTCAGATAAAAAAAAAAAAACAGAAATTGACATTATTCTATAACTAAGGGTGCAACTGCTACTGCTGCTACTACTACTACTACTATTGCTGCTACTACAACTACTACTATTGCTACTGCTAATACTCTACTACTACTGCTGCTACTACTACTACTCCTATTACTACTCCTCTATTACTACTACTGCTTCTAGTACTACTTTCACTACTACTGACCCGGTGGCCTGGCTGGCAAAGCTCCCGCTTTACACACGGAGGGCCCGGGTTCAATTCCCGGCAGGGAAGAAACATTTCGACGTGTTTCCTTACACCTGTTGTCCTGTTCATCTAGCAGCAAGTAGGTACTTGGGTGTTAGTCGACTGGTGTGAGTGGCATCCTGGGGGACAAGATTGAAGGACCACAATGGAAATAAGACAGACAGTCCTTGATGACGCACTGACTTTCTTGGGTTATCCTGGATGGCTAACCCTCCGGGGTTAAAATCCGAACGAAATCTTATCTCACATTGTGTTTTGTGTAATTATATGATCATCAATACTGTACTTATTACAGTTTCACGGTGCTCGTGGCTCAGTTGGTAGCGTCCTCAGCTCACCCATTCTGGCACGAGGTGAAACACTAGACACGTTTCGTCACCTTACCCCTGCTACCTCTGTTTACCTAGCAGTAAGTAGGTACTTGGGTGTTAACCTACTCTTGTGGGTCGTACCCTGGAGTAGAGGATGAAAAGAGGGTGAGATTCTTCCTTTCAAATTACAACATATATAAATTAAATAATAATGAGAAAAGTCCAGAGGATTCATAGGATTTCAGAGAGAGAATTAGTATGATGGGGAGCGCTAAACCCGTAGGAATTATACAGCGCGCGAGTGTCCCCTCGATGACGCACCTATATGCACCCAGCAGCGCTAGGTGCTGTTCATGATCCGAGGAGACTCGTGGTAGTGGTTGTTCTGTTACTTGAGGCGGGAGAATGTGTCACAGAATCTAATTTCAACCACCTGGCTGGCTACCCCTGTGGGGTTAAAAACTCCAACAAATCTTAATCTCTTACATTAGCAAAGAGATGTGTTTTATAAGGTAGTTATCCCTAATAACGTTAAAAATCAGTTTTCTGTAGTAAATCTAAAAACAATAACACAGAGGCATTCTAAATTGAATTAACCCTCGTCAATATCTTCCATAAAAGAGACATAATCTGCAAACAAGAATGAATTTATTATACAAACATGATCCAAATTCTATACAGCAGTTATATAATAAATGAGTGTTAATTGTAAGACTAAGTTTCATATATTATAAAAGTATCAGACTTTTTGAACGCATCCTCGACTGCTGGCTGGCTGCAGGAGAGCTATATTTTTGGCGATTTTTTTTAGCTGATTTAAGGATTTGTGAGGACTAAATCCTTAGGATATCCTTGAAGGAGTAAGTTATTTGCGTTGTCGAAATGGAGTTTGTGAGAATCATGGTTCCTGGGGCCAGAATTTCAGCGGAAACCTTCCCTGGGATGAAGCCTTGATGCTGGTGACGGGCTCGTGATCCAAGGTGTTGGAGCTACCCTCCTCTTTCCCCGGCTTATTATGCCCCCTCCCGGAGGGTTTGTAAACTAGGGTAACCCAGGAAAGCCAAGCGGCTTTGTTTGTTTCCAGTGAGGACCTGTGTTATCCTCTCCCCAGGATGCCACCCACAAGTCACCTAACACCCAAGTACCTACTTACTACTAGGTGAACATGGGCAATAGGTGCTCGGAATTGAGCCCAGCATCTCCACTCATCGCCAGGATTGAACCTGAGGCTTTCAGTTGTGAGCTGAAGGCCCTACCTTGGGTTATCCTGGGTGGCTAACCCTCCGGGTTAAAAATCGCAGGGGATGATGACCTGGGGTAAAAGGATGATCTGGGACCAAAGGATGATGATCTGGGGCTAGGGAATGATGACCTGGGGCCAGAGGATGATGATCTGGGGCCAAGAGGATGATCTGGGACCAAAGGATGATGATCTGGGGCTAGGGAATGATGACCTGGGGCCAAGAGGATGATGATCTGGGGCCAAGAGGATGATGACCTGGGGCCAAGAGGATGATGACCTGGGGCCAAGAGGATGATGATCTAGGACCAAAGGATGATGATCTGGGGCCAAGAGGATGATGACCTGGGGCCAAGAGGAGGATGACCTGGGGCCAAGAGGATGATCATCTGTGGCCAAGAGGAGGATGACCTGGGGCCAAGAGGATGATGACCTGGGGCCAAGAGGATGATGATCTGGGGCCAAGAGGATGATGACCTGGGGCCAAGAGGAGGATGACCTGGGGCCAAGAGGATGATGACCCAGGGCCAGAGAATGATGACCTGGGGCCAAGAGGATAAGATAAGATTTTGTTTGGGTTTTTAACCCAGGAGGGTTAGCCACCCAGGATAACCCAAGAAAGTCAGTGCATCATCAAGGACTGTTTGTCTTATTTCCATTGGGGTCCTCAATCTTGTCCCCCAGGATGCGACCCACACCAGTCAACTAACACCCAGGTACCTACTTGCTGCTAGGTGAACAGGACAACAGGTGTAAGGAAACGCGTCGAAATATTTGCACCCCGCTGGGAATCGAACCTGGGCCCTCCGTGTGTGAGGTAAGAACTTTGCCAGCCAGGCCACGGGGTCACCCTGAAGACCAGAGACCAAGAGCCTAGAGAGAGAGACAGAGACAGAGAGAGAGAGAGAGAGAGAGAGAGAGAGAGAGAGAGAGAGAGGCTGAGGACCTAGAGCAAGAGGCTCTAAGTAATGCCTCAAAATATGTATCAACACACTAAGTGTTTGCAGTGTGATGGTCTGTTGTGGTCCATCCAAAATGTAGATCAAAGTTAATACATCAAATAAAGTATTGACTGTTTTGTGTGAATTTATTCATTTTACGTTACTGACTCTTGGTGTTTGTATTATACAGCTATGTGTCGATTAGTGCGAATAATGAATCCCATGAAGTGGTCGCATTATTCAGATTTGCACTATTCAAATTATATGCTGTTTTTTGTGTATCCATATGCTCTTGCACAACCGTCCACAGGATGGATATGGGGTGCACAGTGCACAATAAACTGGCCACTTTGGTGGCAAAATCTAAAACTGATTTGAAGAGTTTGGGTAAAAAAATAGAATTAATTTTCATCAAATCAAAGTTCTTATTATTCGAACTTGCATCACTGACACAGAGGTGACAGAGATTATGTTCTCTCCCTAAGCCATAAATTTATGCTGAGTTTTGTTTAATTTATTGTCCTCTTTGCACTGTATGACTCTTGAAGGTTTAGCACTTCATTTTGATGATAATATATAATAATAATATCCTCTTTTAATCTTATTTTATTGTATAAGTTTATAATATTCCATTAGATTGACAATCATATTTATTATACGTTGCAGTACAGAATTAATATTCCATCTTTCATAAATATATTTCTGTTAAGTCAATTTCAAACTTTTTGAAATTTTTTTAATGAATTTTTTGCCTAAGAAAATCTGCCATTTATAGCAATCTTGCTGATTGAATTTAATCTTAAGTATGGGCTGCCTGTTCCTCATTCATTGCTTTTCTCTTTGTATGGTATGTTGTATTCAAGCAAAAAAATTTAAGGTATAAGAACTTTTTTTAATTTGTGAATGCCAGAAAGTACAGTACATGCTCGACAATGAATCATCAAATTAATACCAAAGATCTTGTCTGGCTTTTACAGTTTAATTTAAGGTATTATGTACTGTACTGTATATATGGTGTATTGTACTGTTCTGTCCCTAAAGTTGAACTGCTCCTTTTATTATATAACCTAAGCTTTGAACTTTCCACAGAATGGTTTTAACTCGAATTATGTCATCAAGGTTAAGAACGGTCTTCCGACCTCTGTTCCTAACAAATCAAAACATGTCCAGTTCTTCTGAAACCCTACTTGAAGAGGTGGGCGATAAGGGTTTAATAACACTCAATCGTCCTAAGGCCTTGAATGCTCTGAATATTAACATGATACGACAGATATACCCCAAACTGCAGGAGTGGGAGACGACCAAGACCATGGTTATCATCAAAGGTACTGTGAATAAGTAAAGTATTTTTTTTAAAGGCACAAACAGCCAGCTGATCTATCATGTACAGTAGTCTTCTCTGACAACTCTGATCAAGTCAAAAACATGAGAATGTTATACAGGAGTGGAAGTTTTTCGTAACATACAGGCGAGCCCTGCTTTACAGTGCTTCACTTTAGAGCGTTTCGCTAATGCATCGGTTTTCAATTATACCCATTCTTCATTCATTCAGACTAACTACAATAAATATATTCACCACTCACTATAAGCAAATACCTGGAGTATACCAGGCAGTGGGGGTCAGTGCCCCCACTGCCTGGACAAAAGACAAAAATATTTTAAGGTAAATAATGTGTGTACTGTATATTAATTTTTTTTAGGCCTAGCTCTATTGCTCACTTATTACATGATAGCTTAAACATGTTATCAGGCTTTTATATGTATTCAGAAGTGAAAAAAAGGCCATGATTCACTTTACAGCAGTAGCCCGGAACCTGCTGTATAAGCGGGGCTTTTCTGTATTTTACTCATACTAATAATGCCTTCGTTAAGGGGTAAAGGATCTAGATGACAGTGAATGAGTCTTAATGCAAGGTATTGGAGCTACTTTTTCCTTCCTAGAATGAAATCTGGTTACCTCTCATTCCCCAGGTATTGTATAAACTCTTCAAGCTTAGTATTACCTCTGGATATAATATGAAATAATAGTAATTAAAAATGCTAGACATATCAACATAACGCTTCATAAGAATGAATATTCATAAAAATGTGAAGTGATTTTTTTTCCTTCTGCATTATTTGTTGATTTTAAACTTAAAGTAACATTATAATTTGCATCAGTAAGATGTAACCTGGGATAGTTTTGACTCTGTCAGTGTAAGGTTATGAAACATGTCCAGTTATAGAAGTTTGGGCTTTTACTGAATTTTTGGGGTTATCCTGGGTAATTTACATACATTACAAAGTATGATAATTGTACTTATGTGTATCTGTACCTAAATAAACTTACTTAATAATCACTACAGGTGCTGGGGATAAGGCCTTCTGTGCTGGAGGTGATGTGCTCTCAATCGTACAGACTGTCAATGATGAAAACCCAGTTGGCGAATACTTCTTCCGTGAGGAGTATAAACTCAATTGTCTCATTGGAACATTCCACATACCTTACATTGCTCTAATTGATGGTAAGTTCTCACTGTTAATGCTTTTCTCAGAAATGTAGAAGATTGTCACTGTCTTATCACTGATAGTTGTAGTTCAGTATCCTTTGTTATACTTCTTGTTTTTGTTCTAAAAATAATAAGTGGGCTCACTGTTCTGTTATTTATAATTATGTTCTTTTATTCTGCTTTTGGTGCCATTGAAATGAGTTATTTTGTTATCGAGATTCAACATGTACATTGATTATTTGGTTGATTCTTACAGTGTATAAATCTGTAGTGGAGGGAAGGGACAAGGTGTGTTCCTAAAATTATATATGTAAATGTTTTTTTCAATATTATAGGTGAATATTGGTCATCATCCTGATGTAAACCATTTTAAATTCATTATTTACTTCGATGTTAATTGTTAAGGAATCAGGGCATCATAGCATGAAGGCAGTATCATCATCAAAGTCTACATGTTTCGGGTGTTGGGTGGTATTAGGTAGGTCGCTGATATAGAGGAAGAAAGAACAGGGTCTAGAATGCCTCATTGGGGTACTCTAAAATTCATTATTAGGGCATTAGATGTACGTAGTGTCCCTTATAGCTACATGTTGGTGCCTTTTAAAGAGGTAAAACTGAAAATACTTGCATGTGTGCCCAATGAGTGCATGGTGATTTAACTCAAAGTATAATATTGTGGTCAGCAGTGTCAAAAGCCTTTGACAGATCAATAAAAAGTCAAGCATGTTACGCTTTACTTTAAAGTGCTTAAAAAACTGTCAAGCATTTTTAATGTTACATCATTTGTGCTTTCTCAGGTCTGAATTCAAATTAAGAAGGAGTAAGCACATTGTGCTTAGTTAAGTATGTGTACAACTGCTTGGGGGTTACTTTCTCAAGCATTTTTCATAGTATTTGTAGATTTAATATTGACCTGCAATTTTTAATATAAATTTGATCACCACTTCTGTGGATGAGTGTTTTCCTGACTTTTCAGATAGTCTGGAAAAGTTTACTCTTCAAATGATTGGTTGAAAGGTATTGAAATAACTGCAATGGAATGTATTGGAATCTATAACATGCTAGAAACTAGGAATTACAATTTTCTTTACTTTGGGCTAATTGCTTGAAGAGTAATTAGCACAGTTACCAAACCTATTAGCTCAGAGCCAATTAATCATAATTCTGAGTGTTGATGTTTGTCCAGGCATCACAATGGGTGGTGGTGTTGGTCTCTCCGTCCACGGTCAGTATCGAGTCGCTACAGAGCGGACATTGTTCGCCATGCCTGAGACAAGTATTGGGCTTTTTCCCGATGTTGGCGGCTCTCACTTTCTGCCTCGACTAGGAGGTCGGCTTGGCATGTTCTTGGCTCTGACAGGTAAGAACATCATCATGTCCACATCTATAACGATGCATAAAATGTTTGTAGCTTAAATTATTTGATTACTTTAAATAAAAAATAAAATTAAACTTCTCTCAGGAAATTTATGAATCGATTTTGGAGAACTGGTTAGTCAGACTTGTGTTCTGGAGGTGGGAAGGGCAATGTCTGCACTCTGAAGGAGTGACAGGCAGTGCTGTTGCAGCCGGAGGGTAATCTGAATTATGATGTCTGCACACTTTTGGCAAGACAGTGATTGAATGAATGATGGTGAATATGCTTACTTCTTTGGGTCATCCTGCCTTGTCAGGAGATGGCTGTTAAAAAAAGTTGTAGATATAGGTGTGGAACAATGTGGGCATAATTTACATAACAATTTAAAAAAAAAAATTATGTTCAGTATTTCAGATAAGTTGATTAATTATATAGCCTAGAGGGAGTGAGAGGAGTGATGAACAGATTATTAAAATTCTGGTTACTTGTAATGTTTTTGATTAAATTTTTGCATTAGTGAGATTAACAGAGCATATATTTGTATATTTTGCGACAGTGTTCTGCACATAAGTGTATTTGCTTCAAAAAAAACAACTTAGGGGGGGGGGAGAGCTGCTTCAGGTGCTGTCTATTGTGGGAACATCCATGGTTATTGAATTACTAATTAGGTCATCACGAGGAATAAAAATGCACAATACTGTGACTGAAACAATACACAAATAACCTGCACATAGGAGAAACATGTGATGACATGTGATAAATGGAAGAAGAGAGGGGTAAGGAGAGGAGAAGGTTGAGGTATTCAATCCCTCAGCCTGGAATCGATGTGTTCAGTCCATCACTCTTGTAGAGAGTACCGCATATGGCCAGAGAAGTGGCATATATGCATTATTTTGGTAACTATCGACCCTAGACAGAGGCTTCTTGATGCCAGTGAGGTGCTCTTAATCCAAGGTATTAAACCTGTCCTCCCCTCCCTTGGATCTATCTGAATGCCTTCCATTACATATACAAATGTTTATTTCTTAATGCAGTACAAAAATAATAGAGTTATATGTATTAAAAACTGTTAAGCACAAATGAGTGTATTTCAGGAAGACTAATTCTAATGCTTAAATATTACTTAAGACTTAGACATACATTTTTAAGTAGGATTTCTTATGCAGTTAACTACAATCTTATGTGCAATAAAAATATAGCTAATGTACAAATGGTTCAATTTTAAAAGTGTGACTTATTCTGCATGACCCCTATTGATTTACCACTCCCTCTTGAATGTAGTAATAATAATAATAATTTGGTGGCTGTTTGTTCATACTTTCTGTAGTGTGGAGAAAGACATTAATGTACAGTTTAGAATATTTATTAAAGGAAACATTTTGCCCCCTTGTGATTTCTTCAATCCTTATTACATTGGGACTGAAGAAGCCATTTTTAGTGAAATGTTTGTTTGAAGAAATGTCCTGAACTGTACACAAGTGTCTTTCAGCAAATCTTGTTGGTATCACCATACCATTTACTGTCATACTTTCTGAAGGTCAGCGGCTCAAGGGTCATGATGTGTTGAAGGCAGGTGTGGCAACCCACATATGTGATAGCGAAAGGATTCCTGAGTTAGAGAAGTCATTATTGAACCTTACGTCCAACTATCCTGAAGATATTGCTGCAGTGCTCAATAAATTCAGTGAGGTAATTTAATGTTGTACTCGGAGAATTACTTAAACTTTACACAAATAACCCGTATACACCTACCATCCGACTTACGACCACTCGACTTATGACCGTGTTTTTTATGCCAAATTTCTGGGAAATAAACAACTATTTGTGTTGTACACAGTGTTTATCCTAAACCTTACAGTATAAAATACAGTACTAACAACATAAAAAGTAAAGTAAAACATGAAATACCAAAATAAAACAATAAAATAAAGTCATTACAAAAATGTTTTGTTGATATTCAGTAGTAAAGTTCGACTTACGACCATTTCGACTTACGACCGGTTTCTCGGAACCGAACTCGGTCGTAAGTCGGATGGTAGGTGTATAAGTTTCATTCTCCTACGTGCGGGTTATTTGTGTATTGTTCCAATTACAGCATTGTGCCTTTGTTTTTCATTACTTAACTTTAGTTTGTACACTTTTTTTTGTCTGTGTAATGTTATTTTCATTGTTCTTGTTTTTTTTTTTAACAAGTTGGCCGTCTCCCACCGAGGCAGGGTGACCCAAAAACAAAATACTTTCATCATCATTCAACACTTTCACCACACTCACACATAATCCCTGTTTTTGCAGAGGCACCCAGAACACAACAGTTTAGAAGCATATACGTATAAAGATACACAACATATCTTGTATTTACAAATAAACAGAAGACACAGGTTACAGAGTAAGGTTTTAACGGGAGAATGTGTCATTATGTGAGGTGCTCCACACACAGCAAAATGTTGATCTAGTAAAAGTTTTTGTCAACCTGTTTCTCTTCTTCACTGTTGTCAGCAGTATGCCATTAGCATAATACAACAGTTAAGTTGCCTTGAAATCTGACCTAACTTTTGTGACACTTAAAATTACTTCTGATGACCTAGGTATCTCAATTATAGTTTGTTGTTTGAGATTTTTCTAAAACTGTAAATCACAGTATCCAGTTAGGAAGAGCATCTTGTAACATAAATATTGAGACAGATATTCCCTTACAGGAGGCAACTTTTAGCAAGGATGAGCCTTTCTCCCTACAGCCTGTCCTCTCAAAGATACAGTCTTGCTTTTCTGGCACCAGTGTAGAAGAAATCATCTCCAACTTGGAAAAGGTAAAGAATGTGGTGTGCTTTATTGAGAGTGGGAGCTGAATTGCTTTGCCAAAGTTGACCAAGCTGAAGGATACCTTATGGTCACCCATCCACTTACTGGCTAGCTGTGTTTAGTCATTACATACTGTACCTCCCACCACTCCTCCTTCATGAGAGGTGGGTTTGTTGTTTAATACAGGCAGAGTGCTGTTACACCTCCATTTTATGAAAGCACAGCACCAAAAAAAAATCAGTAAAAGATCAAGTATCATATTGTGATTTTATTATTGAAAAGGGTAATGACGGCTTCTAGGCTGTTATTAGGCTGTTATATGTTGTTGGGTTGAAAGGTTGTGACTGATTTTAGGCTGGCACAATTATCACCCTCCAGCACATGGCCCCAGGGAGGGGCTTACAAATGAACAAAGAAAATAGAAGCACTGCAGTTGGCTTAATGGCTCATGGCAGGAAAGAAAGAAGTGGAAATTAGAAGGTTGGAAAAAAAGAAAGTGAAGAAAATACAGAAAAGAAAAGGTGAGAAGGCAAAGGTTAGGGTGGGTGGGTGGGTGTGTGTGTGTGTGTGTGTGTGTGTGTGTGTGTGTGTGTGTGTGTGTGTGTGTGTGTGTGTGTGTGTGTGTGTGTGTGTGTGTGTGTGTGTGTGTTGTGTGTGTGTACATACTCACCTAATTGTACTCGCCTAATTGTGGTTGCAGGGGTCGAGACTCAGCTCCTGGCCCTGCCTCTTCACTGATTGCTACTAGGTCCTCTCCCTCTCTGCTTCCTGAGCTTTGTCATACCTCTTCTTAAAACTGACTGTGTGTGTGTGTGTGTGTGTGTGTGCGCGCACGTGCGTGCGTGCGTGCATATGCATACATGTGCGTGCGTGCGTGCTCTCTGAAGATTAGAGCATTGTACAGTGTATGTATTGAAAAAGGCAGGTATCTGTAGAAACAAAACTGTAAGATTCATGTAAGGAATGTTGTGTATGAGGGTCAGTTCAACAAGACTTCATCTTTGAAGACTGGAAGAAGGGTAGATAGTTACAGAGGATGTCCAGTTTGTATGACAGTAAGGGGTTCTGGTCTCTGCTTTTTCTCACTCAGTCATGACTTGATAATTTCCAGCTAACTGAAATATTATCTTTACTTTCATCTCTAAAGTAATGAGTTTCTTGTGTTGCAAATATTGAAGAGTTTGGAATAACACCAGTGAAAAACAGGATGGTGGTAGGGCCATGGGTTAAATTAGAGTACAGTATGCTGTGTCAGCACTTTATGAATCAAGATTCCTCAACATACTATCATCAGATACAGGAGGGCCTCGCTTATACAGCAAGTTAGGTTTCGAGCTACTTGTGTAAAACAAAAATTGCTGTAAAATGAAACAGCCTTTTTCACTTTCAAATGCATATAAAAGCCTGGTAACATGTTTACACTATCATATATTAGTGAGCAATAGAGCAAGTCCTAAAAACTGCATATACAGTACACACATTACTTTCCTTAAAATATTTTCATCCTTAGCTTATAGTGAGTGGTGAATTTAATATTTGTTGTAGGGAGTCTGAATAAATGAGAATGGGTATAATTGAAAACCGGTACATTAGCTGAATGCTGTAAAGTGGACTCTGCTTGTATTAGGAATATTGCCAGAATAAAGACACGGAAGTTGTCAAGAAGAAGCTGGACAGCTTCATGCTCCAAGTACTGGATTGTGATGACTGTATGGGCTACTTGCACAAACAGCAGAGTTGACCATGCAGTGAATATGCAGGCAGACTGTTAACATCTTCCTAATAATTGTCACACGTAATATAAACCTTCGTAAAAATATTTGAGTCTTCTTTAGGAATTTGCATGAAGTTTTGACATTTACATCTGCAGACCCCAGACAGTGGTGATGCAAGGATCATCTTGTGTTGAAAACTTTGAGAGATGACATGAAGACTGACTTAACCATTTCAGACTAGGTGGACTAGTATTGTATTTTATGTACACAGGAGATTTATTGTTGTTTTGCCAGCAGGATGGATCTGAGTGGGCACAGAAACAATTGTCTATTTTGAAAAAGTCATCTCCCACATCACTCAAGGTGACTTTTGAACAAATAGAGCGAGGAGCACAGCTCACTCTCCAAGAGTGCCTCTCCATGGAGCATCGAATTGTCAGTCGGATTTACAAGGGCCACGACTTTAAAGAAGGTCGGTTGTGTTGTGCTATTTTTTTTTTAATTTTAAAGTAAAGTGAGTAATGTGAGACATTTAGGCAACTTTCGTTGACAAGCAAGTTTTATTCCTGATTTTAAACTTAATTTTTCAATATTTTCACTTCATTACTTGAAGAAAATATTTTTCTGGTCCTGCAGCTTAATGGGGTTTTTTGATCAGTAAATGCATGAAAGAAGGGAGGGTACCTCAGGACTGACAAAGAGCATGCATAGTTCCTTTGTATAAAGGAAAATGGGACAAGAGAGAGTGTAAGAATTATGAAGGAATGAGGTTGTTGCGTATACTGGGCAAAGTGTATTATAAAATTATTATTGCAGAGTTAAGGGTAAGACAGAAAGTAGGATAGCAGAGGAGCAGTGAGGATTTAGGAAAGGAAGGAGATGTGTAGACTAAGTATTTACATTAAAGCACATAAATAAACAGTACTTAGATAAAGGTAAATAACTGTTTGTCACATTAATAGGAAATGGCTGATGTGTTAAAAACAAAATTGTGTACATATATATATTTAGGTTGTTCAGGAGGGGTTTGGGATGTATGCTGTCTGGGGTGACATCTAAATTGTTGTATCTGCACACCTCTGGAAAGACTGATGGTGTGAATGATAGTGAAAGTGTTTCTTTTTCAGGTCACCCTGCCTCTTTGGGAGACAGCTGACGTGTTAAAAAAATTAGGTTGTAATATTTTGAGTTGACAGATATTTAATTTTAATTATGTTGCGCACAATAGATGTCAGAAATTTCTGTGGGAAGAAACATGCCCTAATAATACGGCACATATTATTAGGGTGAGGGTTCCCATTCATTTGAGAGTTATGCAGCTTTCAGCAGTATACATGATAAAAACAACATACACTTCAGAGTGCTTACAACCTGCACCTGGGAAACACAAACAAAGTCTTGAAAAACATAAACGATGAAGAAAGCAAAGTGTACCGGGAAAGTTATCTTACTCTTGTATTTGTGAGGAAGCACTCAAACTATAGGGGATCAATGTGATGGGAATGGGAGGTAAGAAGGTTTGATCTTTGGAAAAGGAGGCTATAATTCTAATTCTTTGAATCAAAGGCCCTTTATTTGCATCTCCCTCTGAAGGGAGAAAAATTATGAAACCCTTTGGTCTGAGAGAGGGTAATCTGCTTCTTACTCTAGTTATTGCATAAGTCTCTGGCCAACTAAGACACAGTCACCCATTTCTTAGACTGCTATACACCACAGATTTTAAAGATGAATAAATGAGTGTTATTTTTGCAGGTGTTCGTGCTGTACTGATAGACAAGGACCACAAGACCTCGTGGAGCCCCGCCACCCTAGAAGAAGTGCCAACTGAAGACATTATTCAGTATTATTTCTCTCCTCTTGACCCAGAAAAAGAGCTTATGTTTTAATATTATTTTTTAGCCAGTATCTTCTCTTGTATACATTCACCTTACAAAGAACCATAGCTTCTCGTATGTTATCCATAAACAGCGCTGTATGACCCTTGTGGGTTTAGCGCTTAGTTTTGATTGTAATAATCTTTCTTTCTTTCAACACACCGGCCATATCCCACCGAGGCGGGGTGGCCCAAAAGGAAAAACGAAAGTTTCTCCTTTTACATTTAGTAATATATACAGGAGAAGAGGTTACTAGCCCCTTGCTCCCGGAATTTTAGTCGCCTCTTACAACACACGTTGCTTACGGAGGAAGAATTCTGTTCCACTTCTCCATGGAGGTAAGAGGAAATAAACAAGAACAAGAACTAGAAAGAAAATAGCAGAAAACCCAGAGGGGTGTATATATATATGCTTGTACATGTATGTGTAGTGTGACCTAAGTGTAAGTAGAAGTAGCAAGACATGCCTGAAACCTTGCATGTTTATGAGACAGAAAAAAGGACACCAGCAATCCTACCATCATGTAAAACAATTACAGGCTTTCGTTTTACACTCACTTGGCAGGATGGTAGTACCTCCCTGGGTGGTTGCTGTCTACCAACCTACTACCACAGGACGGTACTACCTCCCTGGGTGGTTGCTGTCTACCAACCTACTACCACAGGATGGTAGTACCTCCCTGGGTGGTTGCTGTCTACCAACCTACTACCACAGGATGGTAGTACCTCCCTGGGTGGTTGCTGTCTACCAACCTACTACATAGGTGTAATAATAATATCCATAAAAAATTATTTGTGGTTTACCTTTAAGCATTTTGTATTACATTTCCATTTTTACTCCATATAAAGTTTAGTAATACTGGAACACCAAGATACTTCACTTGTTCTCTGGTCACCTCACCGCTAAACAAGACTGAGAATTCATCACAAGTCATTCCTTACAAAGTCAATAAATGACTTGATGTACTATGAGTGTGTCAGCCAGGGTAACATTAATAAAGGGTACAGGGTAAACTGGTTAGCCAGACTTGAGTCCTGGAGGTGGGCAGGTACTGCGCCTGCACTATGAAGGATGAGTAGGGATGTTACAGTTTAGAGGGTCATTTAAATTGTTATGTATTAGCTTATAACATGATTGCTATTAAATAAATGATGATGAATAAGTTTCTTTTTTTGTTTTATTTGGGTCATCCTTACTGAGTGCAATATAGTCGGTGTTTTAAAAATAAGACATCAAAATAAAACAAAAATAGAAGAGGAGAGTAGAAGTTATGAGAGAGATTTTTAGTAAGAGATCAAGAATAAGTTCGGAAAAAATAAGAAGGCGCAAAACTTTGGCTGGAATAACATACAAATATCCCACATGTAGGAGACAAATGTTTGACAATGTTTCAGCCTAAGTTGGACTGAAACATCCTAAATTTCATCTTAAACATTATAATAAGTTTGAGTCTCCTACGTGTGGGTTATTTCATGCCAGGAACCTCATCAGAACTACAGCAGCCTTCAGGGACAGCTATACATACAGGAGCTTCAGGTTTGTGAGACTTGCTTCATCAAATAAACAGTTGCACCACATCAGTTTTCGAGTCGGAGAGAAAACAATATTTTTCACCTCCAACAAACGGCGCTGTATAATAACCCTTGTAGGTTCAGCACTTCTTTTTGATTATAATAATAATGACCTCCAACAAAAGACCAAGACTATGGAGGATATTATATACGTATAGCCTTGGAGGTCTGGCAGATGATAGATAGGCTGGTGATCTTGCTATGAGTCCCTCCATGGGGTCTTGTTTCAAGTTCCCCTTAAGGGAGGTTCCTTGATTCTGATGATGGGCCCCTCAAGGAAGGTTCCTTGATGTTGGTGAGGGGCTCTTGATTTAGGGAATTGGATCTGTGCTCCAGTTCCCCGAATTAAGCCTGAATGCCTTCTGCATCCCCCCCCAGGCGCTGTATAATCCTCCGGGTTTAGCGCTTCCCCTTGATTATAATAATAATCTGATGATGGGCTCTTGATCTAGGGAATTGGATCTGTGCTCCAGTTCCCTGAATGGAGCCTGAATACCTTCCACTCCCCCATCCAAAGTGCTGTATAATCCTATGGGTTTAGCGCTCCCCTATAATTATAATAAAAATTGTTTCAAGTTGGTTGAGAAAATACACAGAAAACTAAATGTATAGTGGAGTTTTTCAGGTTTATGGGCAATAACTGATAAAACAAATAGTTCCAGGATGTCAGTTTCCCATTTTTAAAGACTTTCCACTCCATAAAACTCCAAGACTTGGTTGGAGGTTTAGCAAATGCTGGGTGAACTTGATGTCTTTGTTCAGAATCCCTCTATGGGGGGACTGTTTCATTAAGGTTAACGAAATACAACTGAAAGAACTGGAAATGGACATGTTTGGACCAGGGTCGTCATCAACATTATTGTATTCCTCAAGGGCAGTCATATATACAGGCATTTTTCAGGTTTGTGGCAAGTTATTGGCCAGATAAACAGTTACATCACGCCACTTCTCCATTTTCAAACAAAAAAGTTTTCTCGATCCCAAAAAATCCTGAGACTATAGACTTGCAGACAAGTTTGGTGAATGTCAAGTGGACTTTAAATCTTGTTCAGAATCCTTCCATGTGTATGTGTGTGTATTTACATTTAGGTCATACTACACAAGCATACATATACACACACATCTGGGTTTTCTTCTATTTTCTTACTAGTTCTTGTTCTTGTTTATTTCCTCTTACCTCCATGGGGAAGTGGAACAGAATTCTTCCTCTGTAAGCCATGAGTGTCATAAGAGGCGACTAGAATGCCGGGAGCAAGGGGCTAGTAATCCCTTCTCCTGTCTACATTACTAAATTTAAAAAGAGAAACTTTCGTATATTCTTCTTTCTTCTTTCAACACACCGGCAGTATCCCACCGAGGCAGGGTGGCCCAAATAGAAAAACAAAAAGTTTCTCTTTGTCAATTTAGTAATTTATACGGGAGAAGGGGTTACTAGCCCCTTGCTCCCGGCATTTTAGTCGCCTCTTACAACACGCATGGCTTACGGAGGAAGAATTCTGTCCCACTTCCCCATGGAGATAAGAGGAAATAAACAAGAACAAGAACTAGTAAGAAAATAGAAGAAACCCCAGAGGGGTGTATATATATATATATATATGCTTGTACATGTATGTGTAGTGTGACCTAAGTGTAAGTAGAAGTAGCAAGACGTACCTGAAATCTTGCATGTTTATGAGACAGAAAAAAGACACCAGCAATCCTTCCATCATGTAAAACAATTACAGGATTTCATTTTACACTTTATATATATATATATATATATATATATATATATATATATATATATATATATATATTATATATATATATATATATATATATATATATATTATATATAAACCTTAAAACAGCACTTTTATAAAAGCTGACAGATCACGAGGAGCACTGCTGAGCCTCGGGGTTTTTGATCCAGGGATGTGGAGCTACCCTTTCTTCCAACAGATCGAATACGAACCTGACTGCTTCCTATCCAACCCCAGGCGTTACTGTCTGATCCCCCTACGGGTTTACCCCTTTCCCCTGAGTAATGAAAAATACAAAATAATAATGACTATAATAATAAATATGTGAAATATTCCTCCAGAAAAGCAATATAAGCGGCCGGGTGGGCCAGGTGGCCCGGGTGGGCCAGGTGGCCCGGGCCGCCCCTCGTCATCAAAAACTTGGGCGACAAGTATGAGATTTTGTCAAAATTTTGTCAGACTGAAAATTAAAAACAGGAGCAGATTTTTTTTTTTTTTTTTTTGGGGGGGGGGGGATTTAACTCTCGAGAGGCACCGCTGTATGACCCGTATGGGTTTTATATATATATTATATATAATATATATATATATATATATATATATATATATATATATATATATATATATATATATATATATATACCCTAGTAATGCTATATCCCCGGTGTATTTACCTGGAGTTTACCTGGAGAGAGTTCCGGGGGTCAACGCCCCCGCGGCCCGGTCTGTGACCAGGCCTCCTCGTGGATCAGAGCCTGATCAACCAGGCTGTTACTGCTGGCTGCACGCAAACCAACGTACGAGCCACAGCCCGGCTGGTCAGGAACCGACTTTAGGTTCTTGTATGCTAGTGTATGCTAGTAATATATATCCCAGGTATAATTGCAGCTGTGACAGTGCCACATAAACATATCGTGATGTATGTGGCCAATCTGCCTTCTGTGAGAATTAATTAACACATTTCTCTCAATTCTCATTTCTCAGAATGATTGTTTGGGGCGTTTGTATAAAACGTTACTGGTAACGTTTGATAATGTTGTTGGGAACGTTTGATAATAACGTTTGTTTGGAACGTTTACAAGAACGTTAATAGGGAAAGTCTATCTGACTGAACGCTGTTCAAAGATTGAATGTTGTTCATTTCCAACTCGAGAACTCCTCATCCGATCGATTTGAAATCTTCAAGACTTGTGTACAGTCACTACAACAAAGTTCACTTAACTAACTGCACGCCCAGGCGCCCTCTGCTCAATTTTATACGCACTATTCCTGATTTCAATTTGGGTGTGACAGCTGGAGAACGACTCTTCTTATAGTCTTCAAACCTTAAACGATGGTGTAGAGAAAGGTTTGGATTCCTGTTTTGGGGCTGTATAAGTGTCGATTCCTTATTCTTTTACTGACGAAATTGGGGTTATTAGTTTCGCTGTGGTGAGTTGTGGACGCCTCGTCTAATTGGAGTTAAATCTATGATTAATACATATGGAACAGTTGGGTATCTTCAGTCAAATACAGAGGCATCAAGTGTAGTAACGAAGATGGAGAAGCAGTATCTGAGGAGGTCAGTCCCTCAACCTCCATGGTCTGGACAGATATCGTTCCTAGACAGTGACTAAGGACACACATTACGGAAAGTTACGTTACTTCACAGAATCTGAGTTTACAGATTCGTAAAGAATTTCGTAATATAGCAACGTATTCCCTTCCATGGGTTAAGTTTATTTTCAATAATCAGTATAATACCAGAATGTATTTTGTTTTAAGAGTAACAATCCTCTGGTTTGTGACCTGAGGTCTCATGTTATGTGAGGAAACTGAAGAATGAACCGGGGATTGAACCGTGGTCCTTGAGTGTAGTAGGTAGCTTTACCACCGAGTTACAACGGCTTTAATGGGAAAATACCAGAGACAGAACTTGTGTACATGTTGAAGTCTGTGGCACCGTCTGTGATACCATCTGTGGCACTATATGTGGCACCATCTGTGGCACCATCTGTGGCACCATCTGTGGCACCATCCGTGGCACCATCTGTGGCACCATCTGTGGCACCGTCAGTGGCACCGTCAGTGGCACCATCTGTGGCACCATCTGTGGCACCGTCAGTGGCACCGTCAGTGGCACCATCTGTGGCACCATCTGTGGCACCATCTGTGGCACCATCTGTGGCACCATCTGTGGCACTATATGTGGCACCATCCGTGGCACCATCTGTGGCACCATCTGTGGCACCATCTGTGGCACCGTCAGTGGCACCGTCAGTGGCACTACTATCTCTCCTGCCACAGCACCACAAGCTGCGGTGGACTATCAGTTACCAAACAATCACAATCACTTGTTCCATAAACACAGTTTAAGTCCAAATAAACTGACTTTCAGCTTCTTTGAAATCTTCCTATTAAAGTCTCGTAGCCCAGTGCTCAAGCTCGAGACCCGCCACACACCGGGCCACGGTTCGATCCCCCGTTCATATATTATATATATATATATATATAAATATATATATATATATTATATATATATATATATATATAATATATAATATTATAATATACGATAATTCAAGTTATCTAAAATCTAACTTGAGAAAAGTCCTATTACGACCAGTTCCCATTACAACCCATTTCCATCATATCCAGTATTCAGTACCCATTAACCACCCATTTCCATGCCTGCCAGTTACTATTTCAACCCATTCCCCATTTTTAGGACCTCCGATTCCTACCAGGTTTCAATTTATACAAATTCCCATTCCAGTCCATTCCCATTTGTGTCAGCTTGTATAGCCAACCATTCCCGTTCCAAAGATTCCAGTTATACACTGAATATCTTTCTCACTTTCTTCCACATTCCAGA